CCTCCTTCCCTTTTTTTCTTTTCTCTTTCTTCCTATCTTCTTTTCACTCCTCTCCCTCCCTCCTTTTTTCTCCCTTGTTCACTTCCTTCCCACCCTCTCTTCCTTCCTTCCTCTTCCCTCCCTCCCTCCCTCCATATAACTGGATTGCGAGCAAAACTTGAGGCAAACTCCTGTTTTCTCTGGAGGCAGGGAGAGAGAGATGAGACACACACACACACACACACACACACACGGAGGCTGGGGGAGAAAGAGAGAGATGAGATACATACACACACACACACACACACAGAGGGAGCCTGGGGGAGAAAGAGAGAGAGAGAGACATGAGAGAGAGAGAAGAGAAAGGATAGAGAGATGAAAGAGATGAGAGAGAAAGAGATAGAAAAATATATTTGTATGTACATATGGAGAGAGAGAAGGAGGGAGGGAGAAAGTGAAAAGAAGATAGGAAGAAAGAGAAAAGAAAAAAAGGGAAGGAGGGAGGGGAGAAGAATATAAACTGTAGGATGGAAGGGACCTTGGAGGTCTTCTAGTCCAACCCCTTGGTCAAGGCAGAGATCTTATAGCGCTCTCTCTGTGTGTCTATGTGTTTGTGTGTGTGTGTGTGGTCTGAGGCCCTCCAATTGGGTCTATGGGGCCTTCACCTCCCCCCCACCCCCCGTCCCCCCTCCTGGTCCACCTGCACTTGTGGCAGCTGCGGATGAGGTCATCCTGCTGCACGCGGTCGGTCAGGAACTGCGGCCGGCAGAGGGGCAGACGGATTCTGGACAGGAGGTCCGGCAAGCAGGCTTCCCGCTGCTCCAGGTCGTACCTGACCCAGGACAGGGCGGCTTCGTAGACCTGGCGGGAGAGAGAGAGAGAGAGACAAAAGTGTGGGGGGCGGAGCTCAGCATACAGGTGAGCAGCTTCCCCTACAGGTAACGCTCTGCGCAGGACCCACCCACCCCCCGGCTTGATCTCAGCACGCATAGTCCTCGACTTACAACCACAATTCAGCCCAAAGTTTATGTTGCTCTGGGAACAACCTTCGTTAAGTGAGTTTTTTTCCTCGTTCTGCCAACTTTCTTGACAAAGTTGTTAAGCGAGTCACTGCGGTTGTTAAGTGAATCGCAGGCATTAAGTGAATCTGTCTTCCCCCCTTGCCTTTGCTTGATTGCAAAACAATCTTCTTGTGACTTTGGGACACTGAAATCGTCACAAATATGAGTCAGCTGATGAACATCTGAATGTAAATCATGGAACCGCAGGGTCATAAGTGTGAGAAATGGTCGTAACTTTTTTCAGTGCCATCGTTAACTTTGAATGGTCACTGAATGAACGGTTGTTAAGTTGAGGACTACCTATAGGGGTACTTATGCCTGCCTTGGCAACTCCATGGCCCCGTCGTAAAACACAGGTAGTCCTCGACTTACAACAGTTCATTTAGTGACCATTCAAAGTTAACAATGGCACTGAAAAAAGCTACAGCGGTCGTGCGTTTCATACTTACGACCGTTGCATGATCCCTGTGGCCACGGGATCAACGTTAAGTAACATTCAAAATTGTCAGCTTGGCAATTGATTCGCATTTACGACGGTTGCAGTGTCCTGGGGTGTGTGTGTGTCACGTGATCCCCTTTTGCAACCTTCTGACAAGTGAAGTCAATGGGGAAGCCTGATTCACTTAACAACCATGTTACTTACTTAACAACTGAAGTGGTTCACTTAACAAACTGTGGCGAGAAAGGTCGCAAAATGGGGCAAAGTTCGGCAGAAATTTGGGGCTCAATTATGCTGGAAGGTTGGGGAAAACCATACATGAGGGCTGGTCGTAAGTCACCATTTTGGACGTCATAACTTTGAATTTTGAATTTGTTAAACAAATTGGTGCTAAGTGGAGAACTTCCTTTAGAGAATAACAGGATGTGAACAACTAAACTTGCAGGGAATTTACCCTTTTGTATCTAAAGAGTTTGTGCAAGCAGTCCTTGACTTATGACCAATCGCTTAGTGAGTGTTTGAAGTTACGACGGCACTGACAAAAGGGACATGACTGTTTCTCGCATTTATGACCTTTGCAGCCTGCCCGTGGCCATGTGATCGAAATCCAGATGCTTGGAAACTGGCATGAACCTGTGACTGTTGCATGGGATATCAAGTGTTTTGCAACCTTCCCAGCTGGCTCCCGACAAACAATGCGGGGAGCCAGTTTCGCTTAATGACCGAACAGGGCACCTCACAAAGCAGTGATTTGCTTAACAAATGAGGCAAAAAAAAAGCTCATTAAAATCAGGGAAAGCTCGTCACTAAATGGGGCGCAGTTCACTTTACAGCCGTCTCGCTTAGCAACAGGAATTTGGGGCGTGCGTTCGAGGACTACCTGGGTTTTCTACCTTGTTTTAAAGGCTTTCAGCTGTCGAGTTTTTGTCTTTCCTTTCCTTGTGCATATAATTATTGCAAAACACACCTTGGATCTTCCCCAGTTGTTGTTCTTGTGTTGAAGGCAAGAGTTTGTGTTGCTGGGCAGGAAGTTTTCCGGACTGATTTATAATCTGTTAATTGTATTAAAGACACTTTTTGCGTTGAAAGGTTTTTTTTGAATTCTTCCTTCTCTGTTTTCCCATCCTCTGGACTTAATCCAAGGTTTATAAGATCAATTAGAAACCAGTTTCTCCTTGACTGCCTGCTTGCCAAGAGGGGTTCCACCACAAAACCGCGATGCCCTTATCCGCGCCGACATAAGTGCGGAGGCAAATCCGCGGCGTCCGAAGCGCTAAGAAAAAAACGACCCNAACTTCCAGAATTCCCCAGCCAGCATTCGCTGGCTGGGGAATTCTGGGAGTTGAAGTCCAGACATCTTCAAGTGGCCAAGGTTGAGAAACACTGTACTAAAGTATATATAACATACACAAAATATTTCTGCCTTCAGGCAATTTGCCTTGAGATAATTTCTTAAAGCATCCAGACGGTTCCCAGCGTTGCATTTTTAAAAGATTGTTGGCTTCATTAAGAGGGGGGGGTTTCACTTATTTATGAGTTTTATTTGTTTTGTCCTCGGAAGGAAGCGCGGTGGTGAATAATAATAACAGATCGCCATGAGAAGCCCAGCAGGACCAAATAACCCCCGAATGCCGAATACATTAGCTTTTAAATCAAAGCCACTGAATTATTTATCCCCTGTAAAATAATGGCGAGATTTCCAGCAGGGGGATCTTCACTGAGAGACCGAAAGGGAAACCGAGGCACCCGATTCCTGCTGGATAAACTACAGAACCCTCAAAGGAAACGAAAAGCCAGCAATAATGGAAAGAAATTTGTGTTCGCCTTCCCATCGGTTTCGTTTCAGAATTGCACAAAATTGCACCCAGTTGCAAAAGGCCTAATACTAAGAGATGCAAACCTGGAGGTTTTTTTTTGTTGTAAAAATACAGGTGAGTCCTGGACTTACGACCATGAAAATGGGAGTCCAAAATTTCCACTGTTAAAGCGGACAGCTGTGAAGCGAGTTTTGCCCCCAATTCACGACCTTTCCTGCCCCTGTTGTTAAGCGAATCACAACGACCGTTCAGCTAGTGACATGGTTACTAAGCGAATCTGGCTTTCCCCCTTGATTTTGCTTGCCAGGAGGTCGCGAAAGGGGATCTCGTGACACACGCCCCCTCCGCCGGGATACGGCAACCGTTCGACCGGCCCTGAAAAAGATGTGGCTTCTGAATGTTTTTTTCAGATTTACGACCGTCGCAGCATTCCCACGTGGTCACCTGATCAAAACTCAAGACGCTTGGCAACTGACTTGTACTTATGACAGTTGCAGCGTAGCGGAGTCATGTGACTCTGTCTTGCGACCTTTTGATGAGCAAAGTCAATGGGGACCCCGGATTCACTCAACAACCATGCAACTAACTTAACAACTGCAGGGATTCACCTAACAACTATGGCCAGAAAGGTCATAAAACAAGGCAAAACTCAAACAGCAACTTTCTCCCTTAGTGATGGAAATGTGTGGTCACAAGTCAAGGACTGCTTGTATGCTGCAGTTGGCAGAAGAGTAGCATAACCATAAGATCCTTCCCTCCCTCCCGCCCCTTTCCCCTCTCTTTCTCCTTCTCCTCTCCCTCCCTCCCTCTTCTTTTTTCTCGCTTATTCACTTTCTTCCCACCCTCTCTTCCTTCCTTCCTTCCTTCCTTCCTCTTTTCTCCCTCCCTCCCCTTTCCCCTCTTTCTCCTTCTCCTCTCCCTCCCTTCTTTTTTCTCCCTTGTTCACTTCCTTCCCACCCTCCCTTCCTTCCTTCCTTCCTCTTTTCTCCCTCCCACCCCTTTTCCCTCTCTTTCTCCTCCTCTCCCTCCCTCCCTCCCTCTTTTTTCTCCCTTATTCACTTCCTTCCCACCCTCTCTTTCTTCCTTCCTTCCTCTTTTCTCCCTCCCTCCCCTTTCCCCTCTCTTTCTCCTTCTCCTCTCCCTCCCTCCTTCTTTTTTCCCCTTGTTCACTTCCTTCCCACCCTCTCTTCCTTCCTTCCTTCCTTCCTTCCTTCCTTCCTTCCTTCCTTCCTTCCTTCCTTCCTCTTTTCTCCCTCCCTCCCCTTT